TTCCCACTTGGCTAGACCCCGGGATCGAACCCGGGCCGCCGTGGTGGAAAGTCAGCGACTAACCGCTTGAGCTATGGCGCGGCCTATGGGAACACCTTAGTGCAGTTGCTACCCTGTCTATCGTTATCCTCATGTCAGCTCGAATCAACTCCACCAACTGCTTCACTGTTTTTTTTATCATAACCTTCATCAGGGCGATCTGGTTGGGCATCATCTGCGACTTTCGAACGTGTTTGAGAGACATTCTCGCCCCAGTTGTGAATAGATTTGCGCGACAAACACTTCCCTCCGTAAACAGGAAATATTTCTTTATGAATATATTTGCAATGAGTCCCTTTGCCCACAAAAAACGCATTAGAGAACGCTGCTTTTAGGTAGGATACCCCTCAAGCACGGTCGCCGCTTTCACTACTGAAACCAGCCTCTGGACATGCGCATGCGCGTCTGCTGCCTAGACCGTATGAAGATGGACTGCGCTGCTACCTAATGATACACATAGAAAAGCTACTACATTTCTTACAGCTGTTTTATTTTTGGTTGTGCCCTATTTACTGACTCTCCCTCGTAAGAAGGATCGTATTTTATCGAGAAATTATTGTCATAACAAACATAATTTTAATGTCTTGTGGCTTTTCCCGCTTGGATAAAGCGACCAAAGAGTAAAAGTGACCATTCATCTCAACTTAATGCCGAAGTTAAGATTACATGACGCTTTTCCCACACCAGAAGTCTTCATGGTATGATGCTTAATCGCAGGCACACTTTACGTCTCGCGTTTTCACTGTTGTTCACAAGTAGGCAAATATCTTATATACTACTTAACATTTAAGGTTTTCATGGCGGTGACTATGAAAAATGCCGTCTTCCGGGATGTGAAGCCGTGTAGATCCTGTGAGAACTGACGTTTCGGAGGAACGTATCGCCTCCCTCTTCAGGGTAGAAAAATCCGCGAGCGAGGAACAAGCTTGACCAGAAGGCTGCCGAAACGTCGGTTCACGCGGGATGTGCACGGCGTCACATCCCAGAAGACGGCATTCTACATCTTATATACTTTCAAAGGGTTTAATAAGTTTCCTTATATTATAATTTTATGCTCTTTTTTGAACTACTTAATGGTATCGAAATCAGCGGCCGTGGAGGTTCGTTGCGCTGATCACGCGACGGCCTCTATCCACTAAAGTTGGCACTAACTTCGGCGACAGTCGGCGGTCGCTCGGTCGGTTTAGTTCGTTTGTGTACTAAAGCCAAGGAGTTTTATAGTACTGTCTTCATTTACTTCTAAAGAAGCCTTCTTAGTAGCTTCTAAAAGAGTTTATACGTTCGTCTTTAACATTTCTGACCTGTATTCGTGAGGTGCTCTTTTCAAATTTGGGCCAGAACCTGAACTATCCTGCCTGGAGGGCAGTCCCGCAAGACAGCTGCGGGGAAGTACCGCTTCCTTTCATAACATTTCCAGTTCGTCTTCTACGAATTATCCTACCGTTTGACTGTAGCAGCATCAGCATAACCGCGGGATCCTCCATTTGGTTCCAGTCCTTCCTGAGTCTTTTAAAACTTCCTTAAACATAACCTATAAGTTCTGGAGAACTAACATGCAGGTGACATGGAATATGTTACAGGAGCTTTCTTGGTGCCATATATCATCATGCTGTTCGCCATGGGACTTCCCATATTCTTCTTGGAACTCGTCATCGGACAATACTCGGGCCTGGGACCCAATAAGGCCTTCCAGAGGATGGCACCTATCTTCCATGGTAATTGCAAGAAAATTGTAATTTAATTATGTAGTACCAGTTACTCGGTTTTACTTACTTACTTAATCCGTTCTTCTTGTACTTTTACGGTGTCGATGTTGTTTCTTTTTATTCATTTTATCATTTTACAGATGGTAGAACTCCTTGGACGAGTGACCAGCTCGTCACAAAGTCTCTATCTAAACACAGGACAACACAAATACAGAATTAACATATACACATACCAAACATCATGCCTTGTGTAGGATTCGAACCCACGATCCCGGCTTCCAAGCTAGCGAAGACAGTGCATACCTTAGACCGCTCGGCTACTGTGACCGGCAGTGTATAAGTATAATATATAATAATTCATTTCGTACCTCACAGGAAACTGATCCGAACCCACGATCCCGGCTTCCGAGCGAGCCTTAGACCGCTCGGCTACCGTGACCGGCTATTTGGATTTCGACAAGCCGAAAAGGTTGCGGAGGGAAACTATTATATTTTACCCAGTTCACGATGTCTGTGTAACAAATATAAACATGTACCATGCAGGTTGCTGTTAACCTCCTAAAGTTCAGTGATTCTACACGTATATGTACCTTAAACTTCTAAACAACTAAACTTCTGAATTCTGCTCACAGAGTGCATTTGTGTCTTTCATATGCTTTTCACCATAAAAGAAATTGTTCCCTAAAGAGTCTTAACCGGCTGAGCTTTGTAGCGGAGTTGTAATGTTACATGTAAGATACGAGCTAAATTATAAAATATTATTGAGAAGAAACTCGGTCGTTAAAAGGTTAAATGCAGTCTTCTTTTTGGCCATTAAACAGCAGAAAAGCGAGACTCCACTATTACAATACACGTACTGTAGTAGAATTTGAGTTTTTCATGGTAGTGGCTGGTGATTAGTTTTTATGTGTGAATTTCAGAATTTCACACTTCCTGTGCTACAGTTTTCGACTAAGTGTAAAGTAAGATTTATATTTGTAGCGCCTAAGCCTTGTCTGTGTTTATATATACTTCTTACAAATTATGAACGAAGTGGAGTCTTCATTGAACATTTAGAAAACCAGTTCTCCATGAAAATAAACTGTAATATACGGACTCTGACATTACCCTACAGACAAAAATGACGTCGACAAGAAAAACATATAGACTGTATTATATTAAGGGGCTATATTGGGGTCCAGTGCGCAAGCGCGCTAGTGTTGCTCCAACTTAAAAATACGTATTCATGTCGGATCTGAAGTTCTCACAGTGGTCACTGTGAAGAATATTATCATCTGGGGTGTGACACCTTGTAGTCCGGTAGTTGTTCACCGACGTTTCGGAGAAACGTACTTCATCTTCCGGTTTCGCAGAGTAAGCCAGACAAGCAAGGAGCATGATAGTTCTCTTCAAAAGATTCACTTCACAGCCATATCCGGATTCTTCAAGGTACAGATTTCAAAGAAGTGTGGTGAGCAGTTACTTCCGGTAACATAAACCAATCATGTAAACAGATTATTTCGCCCAAAATGTATACACAAGTAACTTGCACACCTTTTTTTTTTTCCTTGGCACTACAGCCCCAGTGGGCCTAGGCCTACCTCCATGAACTTCTCCGTTCACTTCGGTTTTTCTAGATCTTACACATTCGGTAGGACTCCTTGGGCGGTTGATCAGCTCGTCGCAAGGCCTCTACCTGTAGAAAAACACAGAAAAACGCACACAAACATCCATGCCCTGAGTGGGATTCGAACCCACGATCCCGGCTTCCGAGCGAGCGAAGACAGTGCATGCCTTAGACCGTTCGGCTACCGTGACCGGCTTGCATACCTTATTTCCCTTACATAGCCAAAACTTAAACAGCCGAGTCTATTAATAGGCGTAGCTGGCTTGCTGCTCTGTAAGATTCCTCTGCATGCCGGGATCAAGTCCTGATAATTATTATTATATTAAAGCAAGTCATATGGCAATGAATATAACCACACGAACTATCGGTGGCGAAGCACCATGCGATGAAGGCGCAGAAGAGATAGTTCGTGTAAACTAGTATGTAAATTTGTACGTCGATCACAACAATTGCACAATTCCAATAAATAACTGATAGGTTCGAATGTCGATAAGAACAGTTAGTTTAACAAGATGTTATTCTTTGCTACATGTTTCGGTTATTTACGGCCATCATCAGGTATCAGCCTCAAGGTGTGGTCTTATTGCTGTTGGGGAAAAAATCCAAGTGTTCATGCTATGAAAGGCAAGTTGCTCCTCGTCTCCGGTTTAAGTATGAAAGTGGAAGAAATGTTACAAATTCCCATACTGATAACAATGGCGCCCCAGCCGTACAGTACCTAGAAACTTCCATTAACTACCTCAGCTAAAGGAGGATCTTATACGAAGGTGATAACAACAACAATGCTGATAACAAACAAATTAAGTTGCAGGCGATAATGGTGTACATTGAAGCTACTATGGCGTCATAATCTGAAAAGGAACAGTGAAATGTTTGCTCGCAGACGTTGCCATACCAACAGACAAAAACACGATAAAGACTTGAAGGGATCTTGAAATACAAGGAACTTACGATAGATATATAACTTATATGGAATGAACTGCATGATACTAATAGATACGGAGGCAATTGGAAGCCTATCGAAGTCATCTGTGATATACATGACATCCTTGGTGGAACTGCAGAATGCGCATATTCTGGTAACTGCATGTTTCACATAGTGGAGGGTGGAGTCCAGTTGGGTCCATTCAGCACGGCGGGCGCTGATTGGCCTATTGTACCTGCCCCGGGTGATGATGATGATGATGATGGAGAATTTGGTGGAATGGAGATTGGCAGGGGAAACAGAAATACTCGGAGAAAACCTACCCCCAGCGCCACTTTGTCCACCACAAATCCCACTTGACCATACCCGGGATCGAACATGTGCCGCCACGGTGGGAAGCCAGTGACTAACGGCTTGAGCTATGGCGCGGTCTAACTGCACGTTTACTAATGTAAGAACTTATATTCTTTGAAACTTAATATTAATTAATGCATATGTGTATGCTGTTTCTCCTTTTACATATCTTACAAGATATGTCCACATTTCTTTGATTGAGTCGCCGTGCCAAATTAAATGAAATGATTATGGTAATGATGACTGGAGCTGTCACCCCTGCCCCGAAGTCTTCGAGTCATCTGCGGACTCTTGGTCAGGTCATAAAATTGGACCAGTTATTTAATATTTATATTTTATCCGTAATTTACAATTTAAAACTTTTTTTTTTTCAAATTTGTGTAAAGGGACACGTCTTAGAAAATTACCCAGCTGTTTCTCATTCATAGTTTTATTTTATATATTGGCATCACTGCATTCTTGTTCAAATGGAAAATCATAGGAACAATTTCAACAGTAGCGTGGCACTTTTGTTCAAATCGCATGTCACAGGAACAACATCAATTGCTGTTACCAAAATGTGTTATTGAGTGTGTTATTTATGGGCGTAACTTGTGAAATATGATTATAAATTAAATCAAGATTCTACAAATTAAATAAATTATACGTAGTGTGCTTTAAATTAATAAATTATTATTAATTGAATTGTATTATTTTACAGTTACAATAGCCAACGAGGAAAGCAATGGAAATATACTTTTAATGTTTTTTCGTCATTATGTCCTTCTATTGCTTTGTTACTCCCTGATGGATAAGAACATAAACCTTATAATTTGTTCCAGATATTAAAACAAATACTTGAGAATCCTCTTTATATATAATATAACCCTTCCCGTCTCTGCCCCCCCCCTTCCAGTATCTCTAGAAGAACTGAGAAGGTGGCAATTCTCAAGATGACAATGTCTGTGGTTACAGTTACTGTGATAATATGCAACAGATTACAGCAGATATAACTACGTTTTGCAATAATGAAACCTCTGGAAACCAAGCCTGACATAGCCCGATGCGGGGGGGGGAGGAAATGCTTCTTCACACACGTAGCCATATAATGGACTTGCAAAACGGGAACTTCGTAATTCTAATAATTATAATGAAAACAGCAACAGCAGCCATAACTTCTGGTGGACGTGTGGTCGAATGCTATAGGCTACATAACGGCGGTCCTCGTTTGGAACCCGTTCTGCAGCAGATTGACCCCCGTCACAAATCTGACCTCGGCAACTGCTTGGAGAACCTGTTTGCATCACCTCGCCCCCCCCCCAGAGGTCGGAAAAATGTGCAAGACGCCGAATATTGCGCTGTACTCCTCTGTCACATTTGGAGGATCATCTATCCTAATATCGGCAGCAACATTTATTATTCTAGCCGAAATTTCTACAGTACCTCGAACTAGGCAATGACTGCCTAGCCACTCACAAAATTCACCCTTAATTTCTTATCCACACAACATATCCTTTTCAGTTGCGACTAATTGCATCCTTGAAAAGCTCAATTAATCAAGGAATTCCTTGTCATTTATACAAACTGAGGGTTTATTACTGTGCTCAAAACAGCCCTGAATCCCGTCTTGGGCCAGATGAATACAATCTACGCCTTAACTCCTTCCTTCCGGAAGATCCAGTTTAATATTATCCTCAAAGGTACATCCACGTCTAGAAATGGTTTCCTTGTTTAAGATTTCTCAATTAACATTGCTGTATGCATCTTTTGTACTTCTCATGCATGTACACCCTCCACTCATGTAAACCTCCTTGATTTGGTCACACTAGCATAATATCTTGTGAAGAATACAAATCATTCAGAAATCTCCATGCTCCTGTTACTTGCTTTGACTTAGATCAAAATATTATCCTTAGTATATTGTTCTCAAACTCCTTAAATATCTTAAATATCTTTCTGTAAGATGTCTGATACAGTTTCTTTAAAGAAACTCAAAGAGGGAAATTTTGTTTATAAAATTCTATTTGCTATTTTGCGTCGACTGTGCAAAAAAAAAAACAATTTTTTTCGTAAATAAAATATACATATGAAATAAAATTTGTCTCATTAACGACATGTGTCAAACTTTCCTATATGTGCTAAATATTTACCAATAAAAGGAAATATGCTACACATAAGTTTTTATGCATGGTATAGCTCAGTGTGACCAATTTAGAGAAAGGTCGAATTTAAACTGAAAATGTGAAGAGACTGGTGAAAACTATGCAAAATGGAAGAGAACAGCCAGTGATTTTGCTAATAATTAACCATCTATAATATTATATAACCTGCTGGGATGTTCTGTCAGTACTTTCAAATGTCAGTACTTAAAAGAAGAAATTGATGTAAAAACTCACTAACTGCTGTGTTCACAGGGCTCGGCTATTGCACTCTGATTGTGATTGCACTTATCACCATCTATTATCAAGTTATTATTGCCTGGACTATCTTTTACATCTTTGCTTCATTCAGTAGTCAACTTGGTTGGAGCTCTTGCGGACATGACTTCAATACTGACGGTGAGTCTAAATAAGTTTCTGTAGTCAGTGCCGAATGAAGACATGATAAGCCTCTAAGCTATATCAAGATTCAAAGATCCCATGTTACAAAAAATAAATGGAAGGAAGTGTATTACATTAAAGCAGAAAGGTAATGAAGAAATAAATGATAAACCATTACATCTTCATATATACATGGGCAAAAATTATAGAAAATATATATCCTGCAAAAACACCGTATTTGCATTATCAGATACCTTAATATTTCTTCATTAGCATACATAAAATTGAGAACTTATATTTTATAGAAACATAAGAGCAATCTCTCAGACCAAAACCTCATTAATGGCAGTAGAAATGCAGTTTGTAAAGACAAATGCAGACTAGTATGGCAAACAAAAAAAAATTGCATTAATCCTATATGCATTATTGTATACCTTTTTATTTCTTGCTCAATATACATGAAATGGGAAAATTTTAACATAAAGGGGCACGAGAACATCCCACAGACCAGCACTTAGTAATTGGTTACAGCAGTGTAATTTACATTTATACTGTGCACATAACGTAAAAATAAGAAACATTTTCTTCCGTGGTTTTAAAAGAGTAAACTTACTGATGGTGTCATCAAATGATGATCAAAAGAGCTTATAATTTCCTTTGCATGTAGTGCTTCATTGATGTTTGCAGTTTGTTCTTAATCCTTTTCAGCCAAATAAATTACTCTTCCTTCAACAGTCTGTTACCATTAGACTTTAAAGTAACCCCAGTAGTACTTCTACCTTAGGCAAAGCAAACTGACTCTTATCTTGGAAGATGACGTGTTCTGGTACCATACATGCGCTTTATGGGAATAATTTTGCTTGAGGCAAAAGCATGGAAGTGTTTTATTTCCCAGATATTGATAGCAACATCGCCAGGATAGTCTTTCATCTGAATGTTTGCACCTTCACACAACTATTCCTCTGAGCCTTCTACCAAAAACGCAAATCTTTTTGTAGAATTATCATATATGATTGCTCTTTTTTAAGTTGATTCCAAGGGCATTCATTATTTGAATAAAATAGTTTACCCAGAATTTGCCTCATGGGAAAAGTCTTTCATCAGATTTCAGTGCATCATCATCATTGACTTGTATATTTGTACTCTTTTTCTGTTATTTATATGCATGTGATCTGCATGAGGCTTTGAGTTCTGTTTTGCCAGTCCTTTCTTGAGTTTCTTCCACCAAGTGACTGAGCTAATTAAGGTTTGCTAAGGGCAATTTGTGGGTCCTGTAGGACTCTGCTACCATTGTGGAGCAGGTGTAACCAGTGATTCAAAGGATCTAACATGAATACAAATTCTGAACTCTTCTGTTTTTTAAGGAAAATGCAAGCTTTTCTTCCAGTGTCATCTTTTTCACTCTACTGGTGTGAATATGTGTAAGGGCCTTAGTAATTGAATTAGAACTCTTAGCTATGGCTAAAATAGCTTTTGCATGTGCTTCACATCTGATGTTAGAGAGCTATTTTGGTACTATGGATTCATGATCAAAGAATAATTTGAGTACTGATCAGCATTCACTATAGAGATTAGGAATAAAATGCACATTCACTTCACACTTCACATGAGAAGACCACTGTCAGGTGATATATATCTTTAGTTGATGAGCATCAGAAAGAGCCCANGGTGGACAGAAGACATGTACACATATATATCGTAATTATTTTTCTCTAGAAGTTTCTGCTGTGTGCCATTATATCTATACACCATGTCAGCTACATTATTATCAGACCTCAGTATTTATTGAAGTCAATTTTCCAGTCATTACTCAGATAATCCAGCAATTTGTTGGCCATATTTCCACCTCTATGATTATCTAATTCAAGGAAAGGTAGAAGGAATTGCATGAGAAGACCACTGTCAGGTGATATATATCTTTAGTTGATGAGCATCAGAAAGAGCCCAGCTATAGTCACTCATATATGACATTACCAAGAGAAATAAAATGTGCAGTAACAAAACAATTATAATAAAGTATAATATGATCCCTTCAAAGGGCGAATTTGTCAACTGAAACATACAGCAGAGTGCTTCTTTGATTCCAGTCAGTGCTGGCACTACACCATAAGCAAACAAAGCTATTCTCTAAGATTGCACAATTTTTGAGGTGGCACATTTTACAGGTCCCTTTCATTATTTTACATGGATCTATATATCCGCTCTCCCATACATCTTCATGGCATAGTTCTTAATTAGTTATGCACAGGGGCAACTTTACCTTTCATAATCTTTTTAGCTTTTGTCAAATGAAGATTAATTTATACTGGCCTTTTGTACATATCATGACCATTATATTGGCAGTGGCCTAAACATGTTACGCAGCAGTGTAAATAGAACTTTATTATGAAATATAAAACCAATGATAGTTCTCATGAGAGTATCTGAAAATTTTATATTCTTAATTGTGGCAAAGTTTTTACAAAGTTGATTTGCTTTTGACTCAGAGGGGGTGAGGTGTGAAATTTCTCATCTCCAGGACTTTCACCAGCCTTGAGTCCAACTAAACCCTCCTTGATTTTCTCACTGTCCACACTCACAACTGAAAATATAAGCATTTTGATGGCTGAAGAATAAAAATAAAAATAAATGTTCATGTAAAATATGTTCTGTGTCTGAATGCAGATTGTTACTCTGAAGCAGCCAATGCAGAATGTTTGAGTAAGTCAGAGAATGAGTCATGGCCACTCACATTTATACAACGTACTTGCCGTCCAGTAGGAGAAATTTGTGCAGAGTATAACCAAACTATGCATAACCGCACACACTGTTTCAATGGCACTTATAACCATCTTAATGCTATCGTTCAGAGAGTGTTGTCTTCTGAAGAGTACTATAGGTAAGTTGTTTAATTTGTTAGAATTTATTTGTAGCCCCCATCCCCCACCATTAATTTGTTTTAATTTCCTATCTGACACATTGGAGCAGTATCTTTCTTGGGGAACTGATAGTTGATGAACTGATACTAAATTTCCTTACCTTTTGTAAAACCAACAATTCATTGTTTTGTTCACAAGAGCCTGTCACTGGGTCCTGTCTTGAACCAATTGAATCCGGCCCACCATATTTCTGGGTACACCTAGGTTTCCTAACTGGTATCATCCCTTTCATTTCTTGGATTAAATGTTATATTCCTCTCTCATCTCCCCACATTCCATCCATCCCATCCTCCCTGACCTGATCATCCCAATAATAGCACAAATTATGATTCTCTTCAGTAAATAATTTTCTCCATACTCCTATTACTCCCTCTCTCTTATTTGTAAATATATCCCTCTGCACTCTGTTCTCATGTACCATGCCATTGTGACAAAGGACTCATTTAACATAACCTCTGTTTTCCTAACATCAAGAATACCAGCATGGTAACCATGTAAATTTATGAGGTTGGGTGACACTAGCAACATCGGTAAGAACACTAACATAATAGTGTAAGATCATGAAATTTTTTGTAGTAGGTTTAGTAAATTGTTTTTAAAACACTCCTTCATAGAATTAAAAAGAACAATATTGTGACTGGGCTCTTTAGCATTTGGCATGGCAACTAATAAAGAGGTGCGCAAGAAACATGATATGCTTTCATTCATTCATCAGTAATCTGTCAAGATGACAGGTCCACAGTCTCTTCCAAAACAGTTCCTCCACTTAATGCGATCTAGAGCTTTCTCCTTCAAATGAAAATATCCTCTTCTGTCCCCAAGGTCATCCAGCATCTTCTTACGTCTTCTTCCTCGTTTTCTGGTCACTTCTATCCGCCCCTCTATCATATTCTTTATGGCCATTGATTATAATTATACCTACAAATTCTCTTATGACATATTTTTTGTACATATTAACAATTAGAAACATGATGATGATGCTAGACTTTAAGGACCTTTCAAAATTTTTCAGCTACTAGTGGCAGTTATGTACAGAAATTAACTATTAAATTATATAATTCTTATATTATTATTTCTTTGTTAGCCCCACAACATCTGGAATGCAGTATGTGTCATAAGTTAAACCCAAAAAATGTATCAGTCAATTAATATGAAGAGACTTTACTTGGGGGTATAATGGAAATAAAGAGTATTTGTGAATGATATTGGGATTAAAACATTCTGGGGCAGGAGGGATATAATAGTTAGGAAATGGAGAAAATTATATACTGAGGAGCTACATTACTTCAAGAAAGCCTATGATTCAGTTAGAAGGGAAGGATTGTACAATTTTCTGATAGAGTTTGGGGCACCCATGAAACTAGTTAGGCTGATTATGCATAAATGTAAGGGAAATATTGAAATGAATCACATGAAACTTATTTGTTAAGGATGAAAGAGATTCAGTTGGACCAGGACAGGGTCCAGTGGTAGGTCTTTATGAATGCTGTGATGAAATTTCGTGTTCGGTGAAAGTAGAGAAATATTTATCAGCTGTGTGCCTCTGAACTTTCAAGTCACACACCAAGAAGTCAGTTCCACTATGAATTTGATTTGATTAAAAATTTCTGTTTTTAAATTCTTGACATGAGACAGTTCTGTGACCTATAATTTTTCATATAGATACACATATGTGTCCAGTAAAATGAATTATATGAAATATCTTGATACTCAGAGACTTGATTCTTTGTTGTTTTGCAGAGACTATGCACTGGGTATCAATGGAGCAACCTGGGAATCGTGGGGCATACTCCGCTGGGAGATGGTCCTGTGTCTGCTGATGTCATGGATTATCTTGTATCTGTGTCTCATGAAAGGTGTCCAGTCCTCTGGGAAAGTCACATACTTCACTGCTATCTTCCCTTATTGTGTACTGCTGGCTCTGCTCATCAGAGGTTAGTTTCTGTCTGTCTCTGTTTGTGTGAAAGAAGTATCACTGATCCTTAAAATTATATTGTTGTTGCTATGGTTATTTTTATTATTATTTTTATTGTTGTCATCAAAGACATTGTCATTGTTGTTAAACTGAACTGTAGAAATATGTGGTTGCTCTTATGTGTTGTCTACTGTGTCAGTCAGATGTGAACTATATTTCATCACTGAGTCCAAAGCACAGATCTTGATTGGTGTTTTGTAACAGAAATTGCTCCTTATAAAAACCGAAATTTTCAAACTACTTAGAAATTAATTCTTATCTTGCAACTGCCATCCAGAAACACACTTTCTCATGCTTGATGAGATATGAATATCATGTTAAATGTTCAATATAATATGAGGTAGAGACTTTCATGGAACTCTTCTGTACTTTGCTGAAACACAGTCTGCATGATAAACTGATTCTTTATTTGGTTGCACTGAGCTCTCTTACTTTCAGGAGTAACATTAGATGGGGCCTATGAAGGCATCATATTTTACATCACTCCCTCATGGGAGTCACTGACCAATGCACAGGTATGGGGTGATGCAGCTTCACAAACATTCTATGCTCTTGGCATAGGATGTGGCTCACTGGTTACTCTTTCCAGCTACAGTCGATTCAACAACAATTGTCACCGGTAAGCAACTTTTGACACAGACTGTACTACTTTTTGAAGATTTCCTCTGTTAATTATTACTTACTTACTTACTTACTTACTCATGGAGCTGAGCCCTTCTGGAGGAGCCGCCAAGTCTGCAGCTACTCAAGAATTTCCCAGCATTTTATGGAACCTGAAGGTTCATTACCATGCTACCAAGAGCCCTCCTCTGTCGATAAAATGCTACTTAACAGTGCATGTGCAATATCTGTAAATGCAAATTCTTGACATAATATGAATAGTGCGTCACTAAATTACAACCTGCTGGAAGAATGAAAGGACAAGGACAAGGAAGATTAGGTACTGTCTTTTTTTTTCTTAAATACTGTATATCTCTAAACCAAGTTTTACTTTCAGATGATAAATGCACTAAGTGATGTGAAATGATGACAACAAGGAGCTTAGATATATTATTCACTCTGTTTAATAGAATTAAAATTAAACATTCTCATAATCTTGCACCAATATCCCACAAATTGTAGTTTCAAATGTGTATGTGTACTCACAGAAAAGAATATATTGTTTCCCATATTATAATTTGTGATCCTTGTGTGGTTGTAGGGATGCATTTGTAGTGGCAATAACAAACTTGCTGACAGCCACACTTGCTGGTTTTGTGGTGTTTGCTATTCTGGGCTTCCTTGCCAAGGAAAGTGGTGTGTCTGTGAAGGATGTTGTCTCATCTGGGCCTGGCCTTGCTTTCATCACCTATCCAGAAGCTGTGTTGCGTATGCCTCTGCCCCAGCTTTGGGCTGTTCTGTTCTTTATCATGCTGTTCACTCTTGGCACTGGGAGCCAGGTACAATAGCACTTAAATTTGTCTAATCAATAAAGAAATCATGTATGTAATAAAGCCTTAATATGCTTAAATATAACAGTGATAGTCCTTACACTTACAGTCTAACAGATTTCATTGTATATGAAGACTATTCAACAAATGTCACTGATTCATCATCTTACACGAAATGAATCCTTCTAAAACCGATTTAAAAGTTTCTTACATCACACAATGTGTCTTTTTAAACTTTATTTAAAAGTTTCTGTGCACTGTAGTACATGTTTCAACCACTTCTATATTCCATTGTGCTTGGTGGCTAGTAGTCTAGACATGCAACGTGACAGGAAGAGCCACCCAGCACCATGGAATACACAAACTTGTAGATGAGACTACTCATCAACTATTAGAATCACAAAATGGAGGCACAGCAGTTTTCACCAACAATTTGAAACACCTGATGATGACCAATGTCCATTAAAACAAGTAGTACAATGTACAGAAATTTTTAAATATTGTTGAAAAGATGCATTCTATGTATGTAAGAAAATTTTAAATAAGTGTTAGGACACATTGCATGTAAGATGGTGAACCAGTGACACTTTCTGAATTATTAACTACATAAATAATAAAGCAAAGTTAGGCCAGAACAAAAGTGTATACAGAATATTTGTAAGAAATCATAATGGAAAGGGGATATTACTACTACAGATTGGTCATGGTGATAAGGACTGAACAGAGATATGGCATGACAAGGCAGTAGTACCTTTCAGAGTAGCAGATTCGTAACTAATATCACTTGATTCACCAGTTTGCAGGAGTTGAAGCAATCAATACAGCAATCATTGACCAGTGGCCATCACTGTGCAGTCACAAACAGTGGGTGGCAGCAAGCACATGTGCAGCTTGCTTTGTATTTGCTCTTCCCATGTGCTGCAGTGGGGGTGTGTACCTCTTCACAGTCATGGACTGGAACACTGCATCCTGGGCCATCCTCATCATTGGGTTCGCTGAAGTGGCCCTTGTTGCTTGGGTTTATGGTAAGTGTAAAGTGTTACTGATACACAAGTATACCTCGTGTAGTTTTACTGAATTTTGTGTAGACCAAGTTTTTTTTAAGGAAACGATGTTTGAAAGTCTTGATCTTAAATCTGGAAGATAAATATATGACTAATAGCCATTTCAGAACATCAACATTTCTGGAACTGATCTAAGTAACCTAAGGGGTTTATTTACACAAATTCTTGCAGCAAAACTGCATGATTTTGGATATTGCTCTCATATCAGTACATTGTTTGGACAGTTTAATTTGCAATGGACATAACTTGAATATAAAACAGATTTTCAGTGTCATTGATTTTCTTTGTGACATTTGATTGCAGGTTACAGTCATTTCCTTGATAATGTAGGTGAAATGAACATACATCTGTCCAAGTTCACAAGAGGCTATTGGAGCATTTCCTGGGCAGTGTTAGCCCCAGTCTTCCTCCTTGTAAGTTTTTTCTTCTATTTTTACATTATTCAACTGGTGACAGTGATTACAAAATTGTTACTTACCTCTTTCAGTGTTTTCTCTGAGCTAAGTAAGCCAATACATGTGCATACATTACATTTCATATTTGCTGCTCCTCTCAAAATGTTAACTTGTTTATTTCCACATCATTATGAAATATATACGCTTCTATCAACAGAAATCGCATTTATTGATCCAAATAAATGTACAAACAATTAATAAACTGCATTTTATTGTTCAATTGTACATCAGGCACCGTTCAAAGTGCTTTTCTATTCTGGAAACAGAAAAGATATGGCTGTACATTCTGCTTGTGGAGAATATGAATCTTTTGCCTCATAATTGAAGAACAAAAACTGTTCCCCACTTTCATATGTTCAGAGGGGGAATTACAGCTCTGGAAAGACCCTCCAACTCTACACCATTATTGTTTCATTTCTTTGATTATGAAAATATAAAGAGCAAACAAACGTGGAGATATATTTCCCAGAACCTGTTTATCATTCATCTTGTTTCATCTTTCTGTGTAACCATCAATGTCACTGCTCAAAACATCGGCACCTGATACAGCATTATAAAATAGTTGAACAATCAGTTAACTGTAAGACATGCACATGTATAGAAAAATTTAAAATTAAGTATGTGTGGTCTCTTTAAAGTATGAAATCTTAGCAGAAGATTTAGTGTTTTATCATAATCACTTCATATGTTGCTGTCTCATCGCCAGAATGCAGGGCAAAATCATAACATAAAGATAGGTAACAGATGTTTTGAAAATGTGGCACAGTTCAGATATTTGGGAACGATTATAACAACCCAAAACATGATTCAGGAGGAAATTAAGAGGAGATTGAATTCAGGTAATGCTTACTACCATTCAGCCCAGAACATTTTGTCTACTCATATATTGTCTAAGAACATAAAAATTAGGGCATAAAAACTGTGATTCTGTATGGGTGTGAAACTTGGCCTTTGACATTAAAGGAGTAACCTAGACTGAGAGTGTTTGAGAACAGGGTTCTGAGAACAATATCTGAACCGAAAAGGATGAGGTGACAGGAAGTTGGAGAAAACTACATAATGAAGAGTTTCATAGCTTCTACTGTTCACCAATTACAATTAGAATGATCAAGTCAATGTGGATGAGATGGACAGGGCATGTAGCATGAATGGGGGTGAAGAGGATTGCATATAGGATATTAGTGCGAAAGCCAAAAGGAAAGACACCACTAGGAAGACCAAAACATAGGTGGGTGGACAATATTAAAATGGATCTTAGAGATATAGGATTGGATGGTATGGATTGGATTGATCTGGCTGAGGATAGTGACCAGTGGAGGACTCTTGTGAACGTTGTAATGAACCTTCAGGTTCCATAAAATTCTGGGAATTTCTTGAGTAGCTGCACAATTGGCAGGTTCTCAAGAAGGGCTCAGCTCCATGAGGGAGTCAGTGATCATAATCACTTCAATTGTCTGTTACTAGTGCATATGAGGATAATATTAATGTAGGTCTTGGAGATGTGCACTTGATTAATTTGGCCCAGGACAGGATGAAATGGCATTGTTGTGGGTGGTAGTGGCAAACCTTCAGATTGTCCATGGAATTATCAGGAAGTGAGATGAATAGATTTCAGTGGCTTCCTTTCTTCATAATGGTGTAGAAACTTCACATTTTGTAAATGGAGCAGAATAAGTATTGACTGTTAAGAAAGACTCTGTACCATGAGTTGCCGGCTTGATTTGTTGGTTTGCTAGTTCTGTCAATTCTTCATGAGATTCTTTAACCCCAATTCTGCAGGTGTCTGTTTTCTCCATGACTGCTATACAGCTTGCCCATGTGAGCCTCATTGATTTTATATCTCTGTGAGTTTAGTATATATTTGAAGGAAAAACAACAGAAGTGCCTAATTTTATAATTGTTTCGTCTTTCTTATGTCTATTTACTGCTGGAATTAAGTCTGTCTTTCTCTCCTTATAGGGTGTCTTGATATTGACTCTCAACAACTTCACACCTGCTTCTTATGATGAATACATATTCCCAGAATGGGTTGATGGCCTTGGTTGGCTTATTGGCGCTGTATCTATTTTGCCTCTGCCAACATTTGCCTTATACCGGCTATTCAGAGCCAAGGAGGTAAGAAGATATAATTAGTAACTAAATGTTATACACATACACAGAAGCACACATATTAACAGGTTACTGTGATACAAAGCCTCCCTCTCAGTGTATGAGTTTCTGTTAATCTCTAAAGTTGTTAATGCTCCTTGAAATTAGATTTTCAAATCAACATTAGTTTGAACACATGGAATCCATATTTATGAAGAACTTTGAGGAAGATGAGCTCAAGTAGGAGATAGCAGGCTACAATTTTATGAACTACAAAAGAAATGTTCTTTTACTTCCCAAGCATGTGTTTTATTATACCCACAGGTTGGATGGGAACTACTGCAACCAAGTAAGGTCTGGGGACCAGCACCGTTAATGACATTGGAAGTGCCTTCCTTTGTGGTCTGTGAGAACAGTGAAAAACCTTATAATGCATATGAGAAAAGTGATAAACCTTATAGTGAATATGAGAACTTTGAAAACTCTGCAGGAACTAGAAGTGAAGCTGTGAAGACTGAGCCAGAGCTGGCTGACATTCAGCAGTCAGATGTTAGTGCATATGCAAATCTTACCTTCCACTGTGAGAGTGGCAAGCGCCCATTTCCATGTGAAAACCAAACAAGTAGCTGATGTTCTCATGTGTATTCTAATATAAACTATTTGCTTAGCTGAAGTAAGGTTATTCTACCACTTATGGAACTGACTGCATTGATGGGATACAGCCACATGCAAGTACAAGAGCTGAGTTTCATATATATTTTTTTTTCTGGTGATATATGTGCAGCAGTTGTTACATAAGTGACATTTGGAGTTTGCACAGTTGTGACAATGAAGATTAGGGTAGTCTGAAGATGGAGGTAGTAGGTTCTTCCCAAATGTTGGTAGTGCTCTGTCACACTGCATGGTAACACATCCCAAGAGAGGGTGATCTTCACATCTGACATGTTTTATAATGTCCACCATCTTGATTCCTTTTATCTTCTGCTTCAAACCACCATCAATACAACTCAGGAAAAGTAAAATTAATTTTTTCTTTATATTTTGTAGGAACACCAAGTAGGATAGTCTAGTGATAAAGCACTTTCTCTGTACTAAAAAAAAATGTTCACCAATAGGATAGTCTAGTGATAAAGCACTTGCCCTGTATTAAAAAAAAACTAGTTCACCAATAGGATAGTCTAGTGATAAAGCACTTGCCCTGTACTAAAAAAAACTAGTTCACCAATAGGATAGTCTAGTGATAAAGCACTTGCCCTGTACTAAAAAAATAACTAGTTCAGATCCTGCCTAGGTTAATGGCTATTGTGACAAGGCTTACATGATATTCCACTGCATCTCAAGTAGCATAAAATAAGTCATCACTGTCTCCTTCCAAATTCTTAAATATTCACCATTGAGAACCATCTACCTATCATATCTCACAGGTAAAGCAGCACAATTAAATAACTTGAGAATCAACCATTTTGAGTATAGAAAAAGATAAATTATGAAAAGAAAATATTTACCAGTACAGAGGCACTATAAGGATAAATGTTATTTATTGTACACTGTAGATAGTTTTGATAAGAATTTGAAGTTATTGTTTGGAATTTTATTTATATTGATGGAACTTATTAAATTAATCTGAGGACTTTTGGCAACTGGAGATGGCCCCTTCCCAAGTATCTGCCAGTCAAAACAGTGCAATACAGCGCAATACTCTCTGAGTTCAAGAAACTGTACTAAATTCTTTTATGTTCACTGCACAACAATTCATAATGTATATGCATCTTACAAAAAGAAATTAAATAAACAGAATGACTTATTAAAATATTGCATTGTTCTTATGGAACCTAACTTTTGTAATTTAATGTCATATTGTGACAGCTGTTGACAAGAGAAGGGGAGGCATTTACATAAACAAGTATATAAAATCTCCTTGCTTTTAACACACTAGACTCTGAACACACACTTATACTTTTCCCCTGTTTTAGGACCAATCCTGAATATACTCATACCAAGTGGACCTAGCCCAAATATACTTACTTCAATTCTTTTTCCCCCCATCTCAGCACTGAATACACTTGTGTCCTATGGTCCTTGGACATTTGAATACAAGTACTAGCACCTATACTAGGCATGTAAGTTCAGGACACAAGAAACAAAATTTGTCTAAATAAAGCTGAGAGAATAATAAAAGTAAATCTTGAAATAATGATCAAAATAATCTAGTCTGTAAAGTATGTTGGTGGATGGAAAATATGTAAATATATAAAGATGCAGCATTGTAATGATTGTGGAAATGTGACTGAAATAGCCCTATCATAGATTATGAATCTTTTATGTATACGAAATATTAGACAGTATAACAGGAGTTTGTATTTAAATATTTTTAAGGAAATTTTAATTTTGTTTTTTATTCATAGTGCTGACAATACTAGGTGTAAGATAAATTAGTAAAAGACTTGAAATCAGCGTGAAATGCAATTTTCTGGAAGGAAATCAGGTTGGCAATTGACCTATCAAGATGATGCCCCTTCTTGTATTAGCAGTATGTATCAGTGAATTTATTTGGAAATGCTCCTGTTTATTCGCAATAAACTTCACTGAGGAAAATATATATATATTTACACGGAAGAAGCAATTTCTAGTCACTTGAATGTAATTTGATATGAAATGTTAGATTTGGTACCAACCATAATTCTAATGGTTGTCTTTTAAAAAGAAAAATTTATTTTACAATTGAGTGAACTATCTTCAGAAATTACTCCATACTTCATAATCAAGTGAAAATAAGCAAACTAAATTGTTTTAAAAGTGTATCAGTATGTCATATCAAACCATAGGACTCTGACACTATCCTTGGGGACATAATGCCCTGGTGTCTCATAGATCTTTATAGATCATAAGTACCACAGAACAATGAATAACTATGATATTGCACATCACTATAACTACAACGATAACTATATATGATTTAATACTTTCACGGTGACATTATACAATGAAGTCTTTTTGGGCAATCAACCATAGCAATATGGAAGTTGTGTCCAACATTTGAGTGACAGACTTTGTCTCTCTCATCAGTTGTTTATGTGATGCATGTTGTGTTCACACACAGTATTTATAAACAAAGCTGTTGTGGGCAGACTTAGATCATCAGTGACGCCCTGTCCTGACTTGAGCTGTATGGGATACAGTTGAATGGTCATCTGGATTCTTACTGCTTGTTGTTGGTTCTTCCTCATGAAGTTTCTTTTATGTTCTGTCATGTGTTTTATTGTATTCATCCCTTAGTACCTCGAACGTCCTAGAGAGAATCCCCTGTCAGCCCCTGACTGATGGAAACATAGAAAGTTTCTCTGAAACGCGGGGCATAAACTCCACATTGACAAATCTCTACGCCCGATGAGGCTTCATTGTACAGTGCACGTTTCAAATATTTTCGCGGTCTTTGTGGTGCACTTCTTGCTGCCATCTGTGTAAGAAATTGTAACTAATTATCATACACTGGGTTGGTTCGGATTCGTTGGCGGCAGTTGGTGGCAGTTGGGGTCGTTGGGGTTCAGGTGGGATTTTAGTTTAGAAGAAGGTGAAGTATTTCTGATTATTTCCAAAGTTTAAAATATGAATCAAGTATATTAAATGAAATTGACGAGTGGTGTTTAACGGTTTGTTGTAATTTTAATTTTAAACTAGTCAGCAACTGTGCTGTTAGGTATACTGTCGTTTACGGATCACCTTAGTAGGTAAGATTATTAACTAATATCATTAGCTCGTATCTGCTCATTCACAAATTACAAATTAAGGCATAATTACTTTTGTGAACATGTTGGTAACGTCCTTTAAAGTAAATATATCAATGTGCGAACATTCCAAATTTCGGCTTTGGATGTTCAGCATCACGCTCTAGCCGTTTTACCTCTCGTGGATACTCTCGGCAGTAACTGGATTGGCGGCTGGTTACAAATTTTGAATCGGATTCAGTAGAACATAACCTGTATGTTAATACAATTTTGATAAGTCTCGCAATAACTACCTCACAAAACAAAAACTATTCATATTTTTATGATAACATCTGTACATGTTTCGCCGTTTTTCAGTCATGGAACAAACACCCATATTCTTATTACACTGCTGAAACTGTATAACAGGTACGTGGGAACACTTTTGATTTCTTAGGATTTGAGGTTCTTACAGTTCTATTTTATGGGATTTAATGCTGTGCAGTCTGTTGAAAGTTAACCAGCGCTTTGGAGGAGAAAGCAGTCTTCTGGGATTTGTCACCGTGTATATGTGGTGTTAACCGACGTTTCAGAGGAACGTATCGCCTCCATCTTCAGGGCAGAAGAGTGCATATTATACTGGCATTAAAATCTTCAACAATCTACCACCAAATATCACAACTCTTATAGATAAACAGGGACAATTTAAAGTAGCACTAAAGAGATACTTAATTACACACTCCTTTTACTCTGTTGAGGAATTTATGCTTCCAAACAACATAAAGTGTATGTAATGTTTTCTCTTGTTTGGAACACAGGAAAAAAAAATCTAGTATATGTTAATGTATGGATTTATGATGGATATTTTACTACTTTTGTGAAATCCTTACTATTTATGTGAAATTGAATTGTGCATGTATATATGTATTGTATGATTTTTGACAAATTCCACATCCGGTAGGTCATCTGACTAACTCATGGATCTATGGAATGCTATGTATGTATGTATGTATGAAGAAAAAATATAAGAAATCTGCAAGCGAAGAGACCATGAGAAACGGTTATATTTTTTCTTCTACCCTGAAGATGGAGGCGATACGTTCCTCCGAAACGTCGGTTAACACCACATATACACGGTGCCAAATCCCAGAAGACTGCTTTCTTCATAGTCACCGCCGTAAAAGCCTCAAATCTTACACAGTGTTCCGCTTTGGAGGAATTTTTCGCCTCCATGTTCAGGGCCGAGGAGTAAGCCGAGCAAGAAATCAGCGTGAAGCAGGTGTACTGATATTGCAGGCTTATCATTCAAAGCAGCAGAATGCGTGTGCATACACAACTTGTTTAGTCACACAAATAAAGGACGCAAGAAACCTAAAATGTTATTACGTGCTTTCCTTGGGGTGTAGCCAGACTGTTCATTACTTGCAGCGAAAGGGAGGTCATGTATACATACAGAATTCTATGATGGTCCAGGACCTGGTCCGTGTGACAGTGGATCATACTTGTAATGGCTAGGTTTGACATTTATTGAGCACAGTAAGCAGGTGGAAGAAATGCACATGGAACAACGCACTGAGGCTAGGCCCTCCATGAACATCTTGTGACCTAAGCAACTGTTCTGCAAATTTTGAACAACAAAAATATAAACAAATTAAAGATCCAACTTTTTGTACCATACTAAATAGGAACAAGTTGAATATTCATTGAACCACTTATTATATGTTCATGAAGGCATTAATTGCAGTTTGGCTCCAGACCCTCTTGGCATTCAGGGACTAACAACATTGTCCCTGATGAGGCTGTTGATACTGTATACTTCATTTCTAGTCATTTAATGCAGGAACACACCTACACAGATTCTGTAGAGATACTGAGAACTGAACACCATGTTAAATATGATTTAGTATAACTGCACAGACATCATATGCTTTTTCTGTAACTCTGGAGTAAGTATGAATTCCTGAAAACAAGATGCTGTTTAACCTTACTGCCAAAGCAAATGAGCTGCCAGCATCACTGCCAGAAGCAACTCATTATGACTTCACTATACTGCATCCTACTGCTGAAAATGAAGTATGGGTCACTGTTATATGGCTTTTGAACCACAGTCCCAACTGACATTAGTAGCAGTAGTTGGTTGAGGGGCTATGCTACAAGCCGGAAGGTCGCGGGTTCAAGTCCCGATGAGGCCCTGGGGTCGACTCAGCCCCTAACAGAAATGAGTACCAGGAATAAATTAAATAATTTTCCTGCGGAGTAAAGTGCGGCTGGCGCATAAGGCCGACAACCTTACCGCCATCTTTGAGCCGATTGTCTAGATAATGTGGAACCCTCAATGTCTCACAACCGTATGGGCCTTCACGGCCTGGTACAGGGATAGATTTACTTTTACTTTAATCAGCAACCGACCTCTGATCAAATCCACAGAACACTGTGAGAGAGAGATGGCAGTCCTCTGACACTGGGAGGTCCGGGTAGGCAAGGGAAATGAGCGTGATCTGAACTTACACACTGCTTTACTGTGAGAAAGTTCAGGTCGATTCTGTTGAAAATTGTGGCATGTTGTTGGAAACCTGATGTGGCAGCTACGGAGACTGTGAACTTGCCATCTGCTTGTACTGGTCGTTTCAGCCATCTTTCTTTCAGGTAGTAGAATCAATTAAGGTTCAACACTGCTAACATCAGAGCCCATGATTGGATGTAACCATTAGCAAATTCTGGCTCGTTCATGTCCATACATACTACATCCTTGAGATACATACAAAAATGATAACTGAATCAATTGATGAAAATAGAGTATAAAATTTAGCAAGGGAACTGAAGATTTTTTCCAGAACATTTCATTATTTTTAATGTTGATGTGTAAATTAGAACAAAAACATGGAATTGTGTTTACACTACAATTTGAAAATATCTGTGTGTATTACTGCTCTTTTCTTTGTTCCTGCGGTATATAGCTGTAGCTGCAAAGAATATATAAGACACATTTTGTTAAATTCTGGACATGAATTGTAAAGTGTACTGTGCCGCACGTGTGTTTTGTACATTTGAAATTCGCTTCAGTACTTTATATTCATTATGTTAAAAATAGTACCCAATGTGTGGAGAGGGTACAATTGATAAGAATAACAGTTTGGTCTGCAGATGCTAATAGGCATTCACACATTGCTTCAAAACATGCCTAAGGTCTGCTATTTTAGTTGGGTTTTACCCCATACTTGTAAATTTCTTTCATAATTCGTTTTCTTCTAAGACTGGCCTTCAGACTCCACAGCATAATAGAGCTTCCTAATTTAAATTAAATATTGTTATTGCTATTGTCTTCAGACATGATAATCAAAACTGATAATTTCGTTATTCTAATGTACTTCGTATAGCTCAGCTTGATGGTAGTGGATAGCAGGTGTGGGCTATAGGTTAGTAATGACTTCTGGTAAAATTAATAAAGTACATATTTCTATTGTTATGAGTCAGGATATTAAATTCATCTATCAATTTGTTCACTAGATCTTAGATTACGAGTAACGATAAGAATAGAACGACGTGTTTCATGAACTGTTTTTGGAAATAAAATTGTGTTACCATTGAGTGGCGTAACTTTAATCAAAGAGCCTTAACCGCCATCAGAGATGCACAATGGACTGGAATAAATCAGTCAAAGGGTATTCACGGTGCATTTATTAAAATTAACACAACAGGAGTGCGTAACGCAAGCGCATCATTCTTTGTCCCTCAGCTTTTCGATACACTTGATCCAGCAATGGGCAGCATAGTTGGTTGAGGCACTACGCTACAAGCCGGAAGGTAGCGGGTTCGAGTCCCGATTAGATGGATTTTTCAATTGACCTAATTCTTCCAGCCTCACTATGGCCGTGGAGTCGACTCAGCCTTTAACAGAAATGAGTACCAGGAATCTTTCTAGGGAGTTAAGGGCGGCCAACGCGTAAGGCTGACAACCTCACCACCATCTGTGACCCGATTATCTAGAGAAAATGTGAGAGCCTCGACGTCTCACTACTGTATGGACCTTTAGGGCCTATTACATGAATAGCTTTACTTGATCCAGTTATGTATTTTTTTTATTGCTCGTGGGTTGGGACCAAGTTCCTTGTACCGCGGCCACTTCTGGCCTATTGTACCAGCCCCAGATGATAGGTGAGGGTGATTGTGGAGCAGTTGGCGGAATGAAGATTGGCAGGGGAAACCGAAGTACTCGGAGAAAATCTGTCCCAGCGCCACTTTGTCCACCACAAATCCCACTTGACCAGACCCAGGATCGAACCCGGGCCGCCGCGGTGGGAAGCCAGCGACTAACCGCTTGAGCTATGGCGCGGCCTATCCAGTGATGTAACAAGTATATGTATGTTATTAGAAAAAGAGGTTTCTTACTGGGCGGAAATCCATATATGCACCATCTCATTCAACTCGTGGTCGCCTGCAAAACGAGTCTCCGAAGTATCTTTGAGTGGTATGCAGAGATGAAATCTGATGGAGCAAAGTCGAGGCTATGTGATGGATGTTGTAAGATCTCAGAGTTTAGCTGTCCACTCTTTCAACAGGCTGTCAGCAGTGTGGGAATCGGCGTTGTCGTACAACAGCACAACACATTTTAACTGTTTGGTTTTGGTGTTTACCTCGATCGTCAGTTTTAGCTTGTCACGCAACTTCTCACTGTAACATGCACCGTTTCTTGTCTCTACCCCTTCCCTGATAATGCTCCATGATTGGTCTCTGTGAATCCCAGAACATTGTGAGCGTAACTGTTCCCATTGTTTTGTCGAGATTTGTGTTTCTTTTTTATGGCGAATATCTGGTGTTTCTATTCCACACTCTGAATTTTGTTTTGCGGTTGGTAGTGTTGGATGCACGTCCCGACACAGTGGCATTGCAATTCAGAAAGACGTCGTTTTTGTCATGGCACTTATTCAGAAGACGATTAGAAATGTCCAGATGGTTACGCCTTTGCTGTTTCGTGGTCTGTTTTGGAATACATACTTTACTAAAGTGAAGTGTGTGTGCGGTGGATGCTCTCGCGGGTACAACCGCGATATTCGGCAGTTGGTTTGATACTTTAACAACAGTCACTCTCCTGTTATCGAGAATTAACGCTCTGATGTCTTCATTGTTCCCTTTAATAATCGAAGTGGACGGGTGACCCGTTCTTTCGTCATCAGTGTCGCTTGTTCGTACATTTTTAATATGCGAGTGCATTCATAGAGGAGAAATGCCGTCACCTTACTCTGCTCATAGTCTTAGATGGATCTTTGCACCTTTCACACATTAAGCGCATAAAAAAATCTAATCACTTGACGCTGCTCTTCTTTGGTGCACGTGGTAAGCGGAACGTCCATGTTGATGCCACCAGTGATGAAAGACAACTGCGTGTTGATCGGTGTTGATGGTGTTGATGGTCAGATAACGCCTCTACAACAGTAACGAGGTTCCATGCACATGCAGCAAAAAGATCAAGCGCTATGTCAGAGATGAGAGATTTCGTACAGAATTTTAGCTGGGAAAGATGAAGGGAAGAGACGGCTGTGGAGGTGTGTTCATAGATAGGAGGATAAT